TTGGGACGAGGTCCATCCGCCCGGTGGAGGCCACGCTCTTGTGTGTCAAGTTTGGCTGTGTCATGGAGGTAGAGTGAGGAAAACTTCTGTCATTCATCCATACATTTTTGCTATAATCCATTGTGTTTTGTGGTTATTGATTGAGTGCAAGTGCAAAATAAGCAACCCATGGGCCCAAGGAAACATGTTACATACTATATAAAAACATGCATGTTTATATGCATGTATATTATTAATAATCACTGGTACATTAAATGTCTTATTTTACTTATAATATTCCCTGCTACATACACTAACGACCATCAACACACACTCACATCTTCCCATCCAATCCATCATCACCAGATTCATTCAATAAAAGGCGAAGTGTCACTGTAACTGTGCATGTCTTCTTCAGTTTGTGTGTATTTTAAAACTAATATTTCATGTGTTTAAAATTTTTTTTTCATTAACTTTCTAGGGTTGTCTTGCTCGGAAATTAATTTGATTTCCATTATTTCTTATGGGGCGAAATTTAATTGACTAACGATTATTTTGACTACGGATGAGCTACTCAGGAAACTGGGATTAATTAGCGTTAAGTCGAGGGGTCCACTGTACTATATAACATACAAATGTTATGGTTTAATAACATGTACTTATTAAGCCACTGCCTCATCCCACTGCCTCCCACCTGGCCTCAAACCAATCGCTAGTTGTTATGCCAGCTTCTTGTACAGCTTAATTCTTCAATTCCATAGTGTTTTCTCAATTTCTTTTTACCAAAGGGCTGACACTAGCAAGTTTCTTTGGGCCCATGGTTAATTATGTAGCCAATTTGCACTCAATCTACAAGCACCAAACACAATGGTATTATGTGAAATGTTCTGGAACAAAGACGCGTGGAGGCTAATGCTCACTCCAGCATAAAACAAAGCCAAATGACTCATGAATGCCTCCATGACTGCTTCAATCCTCATTTTTCTGTAAAATTTCCTTTTTCAATTCTATCATAATTATTATTTTATAATAACATGTATTTTTATTATTATCTTATTGTTATTTTTATTATTATTAATACAATTGATGTTATTTAAAACCATCAGGCGTCAGGCACGGCCCCCTCCCAAACTTGTTTCAGGGTTCAAAAAATTTTCGAAAAAAAAAAAAAAAAATTATTATGAAATGAGAGTTTTTTTTTTTTTTTTTGTGGTGTATCCTTTCGTTCGAATAGTATCAACATAGGTGTTTTCGATCGAACTGTCGAGAGCGGAAATTTTGCCGTTAAAATGCATCGAGTGTCAGATTTATCAATGTCGAAGCCATAGCAATGTCGGGGGATTCACTGTAACAGATGGATACAAAACGGCCATCACTAGATGGCAGTGTTTACCACAACAAAGTGGGGAGCGACTGTGGCCCACCTCCGCCTGTCTACAACATAATGACATTTTTATTAATTCTAGAGAATATATCATGTTTGCTATGTTATTTTATTGTTTGTTATGTAATATTAGATGAAACTGTGAGAGATAAATAAGCCTTATAGATGTTATTAGTGCAATTATTCTTGAAGTTTTTTGCCGGTCTCAGTACAAACTCTTGTCCATGCGACCACCGCCATACCACTACATGATTGACATAATTTTAATTTCTAGAGTGATATCTTGTTTCTATGTTATTTAAATTGATTGTTATGTCATATTACATAACTGCAATTTTCCTTTTTTTTGTGTTTTTTTTTTTTTTTTTTTTTTTTTTTTTTTTATTAGAAGAAATTTTAGAATATTTTTTAGCATACTACAACACAGAGGTAACAAAAAAATACTAGGTTAGAAAGAGCAGCATGCCCAAAGCCACTTATATGCATAGCATTTTGGGCTGGCTTTCTTACTTAAAAACTTAACTTAGAATTAACTAAGCAATGTGAAACAGTGATAAGTCATTATTTTGTAAACAGGATATCTATATTGCAAAATATGAGTTTTACAAAGACAGGTAATATGGTTTTTGCATGCTTTGCTGGTCATTCAGTGGAAGGAGTATTCTGTTAGGTAGTGTATTTAAAAAAATAAATCAAAGTTAGATTGGGTCCTGGTTTTACATTTATGTGATATAATCTGTGAGTAACATTTTGGTATACAATTTATATGGTTCAGTTATTCAGTATTTATTTGGCTTTTTGAGAGTAGTAAGGTGAAATTGAGAAGAGACTTGTGAATTTATAAACAGGTAGTGTTACTTTTTACAGTTACAGGTAATGATATTCCAGATTTTAGGGACCTTTTATGTGCATTGAGTTTTTGCATAGCGTTGAGATGGACACGAGGAAACAATCCAAAGAGTGATCTGTGCCTTGTGTTATGGTATAAGATGTTGTTTTTGTTAAGGTTGGCAAGGAGATGTTTGAGGGGAGGATCTAATATCAGAGTTAAGGGTTCTATGTAGTTAATAGGTGAAATAATATGTCATGGATGTTTGTATGGTGAGAGTTAGGGTGGTGTTTTGATTGGTGGGAGTGTGTTGCCTGTAGTGAGAATTTGTTATCATTCTCAAAACTGTGATAGATAAATAAACAAGCCATTAGATGATTATTAGTGAAATTATTCACTAATAGCTAGACCCAATCTATACAGTTATTGGCGGAATGTATTATAATTATCTAAAAAAGACCCAATACCTCTATAACAACAAGCCACTGCCTAAAAAAACTAAACAGATGACTGCACAAGAGGACTACAGTCCCTGGCTAAACACCCAGTACCTCAAATACCATAAATTACAAAGCAACCTATCAAAAAACAGTACGAATTGGGCCACAAAACCAGAGACCATACAAAAAATTACTCGTCAATCCTTACCGGGGCCTAATAATAAAATTAATAAATAATAATAAAATAAATACAATATAAATAAAAATAAATAAGTGTATTTTGCCCCGGGTATCCAGAAAAAACTCTCGTCCAATGCCAAAACGCCCATACAAATACATGAATGACATTTTTTATTTCATTTTACGAGTATATATTGGTTTCTATGTTATTTATATTTGTTTTTTATGTCATTTTAATGAAATGAGATATATTAAATAAGCCACAGAGTTGATATTAGCGAATTAATGAAGTACAGAATTCCACTGGAGAACAGTTTTTAATTCATTTCATTTACATTTAAATGATGGAAAAACTGACTCTGCAAACGAAAGCAAATTCAGTTGCAAGACAAGGTCATGGAATGGATTAAACTCACAAGTAGAGGTTTACATGTATTTACATATATAGACAGTTTGTTAGACAGCAGTCAACATGGGAGGTTTATACATTGCGAAGCCCTGTATTTTGTTTTTACCATGGACGTAAGATTGCTGGTGTCTTTTTTCTGGACTCATAACACATGCAAGGATTTCAGGTGCGGTCTTGCTACTTCTACTTACACCCTACGTCCAACAATTACACATGCAATTTACACATTTATGTCATACACATTCACCTGAGGTTTTTCCTATTGATTTTATCTGAATACGATGGAACCTGAGTTTCAGCCCTACTAAATCTTCAAGTTACGGAGCTAGACTAAAGTTGAAACAAAACCTAAACGTCGATAGCGATATTTCCATAAAGAAATAATTGTAAATCTTATTAATCTGTTCCCCAAAAATATTCACAAAAAAATCAATTTTTTTTTGAAGAATAAATACAGTTTTGATACAGAAAAAAAAAGGTTGATGAAGCAGAAAACGAATAGAAGTACAACTTAGATAACAAGTTCAGTGATACTTTCTCTAAGAAGATAAATACTGAGCAGATAAAACTTACGGACGCAGTAATAGTTAAACAGTTCTTTTTCCCTGTGATATGAACCAACAAACAGGTAAAGACAAATTTATCTGCAGATCATAAAGGGGACAACACAAGTGTTATTGTACCAGAGCTCAGGTATAAAAGAAGCCAGGTTACTAGGATCCCATGGTAGATAAAGTGTTATGCATAGATTTTCCACTAACATGATAGGAAAAAAGACTTAATTATTCCGCATCTATTAAAAAGTAAAGAAAGGGTATACATAAACGAGTGTTTACAAAAAACGTCAGATCCTCCTGTGTAGAGTCAGAAAACTTAGCGGAGGAGAATTATGACACAATACACCAATGCTTCACACGGGATGGGAAATTTCTAAGTTCAGGAAAACAAATGTAGGTCAACTGTTCACAAATCACGACACCCGTGATTGACTATCACGATTTCTCAGGGGAATACTAATCTTACTGAAATAACTAAACAATGTCCTAACCTAAAAGCCTAGTTGTGTAGTGTATGTTTTCTCCATTATTGTTCAAATCTCGTATATAGTACAATACTCTTAATAATTAAATAATAAACAACCTCATTTTGTGCACTGTCACTTCCATCTGTATTAGAACGTCACTGGGGAACAAAAGTGTCCCAATTCGCCGATGAGTGGGGAAAACTTTTTCCCACAGGGATGGTTGGAAATTGTGTACTATGATGGCTTTCCACAATGAAACCACTGGGTCCCAGATTTTTTTCCTACTGCGCACACCCACCACACAGACCCATTCTCTCACATCTAGGCTTATCAGCCTTTTCCTGTGAGATTTGAGGCCGCTAGAATTTATGCGTACTAGTACGACAAAAACCCCTACGCGTAAGACGTACTAGTACGACCAAAACCCTCAAAGGGTTAAGATCATTCATACTTATTCATGTGCCTACTATATACACAGAACAATACATGCAAATATAAACCCCCCACTCAAACTTCTCCTCATCAACCTAAACAGGACACATGACCATAACACAAGACACAGATCTCTTTTTGATATACCTCGTGCCCATATCACACTGTGTAAAAAGTCTATGCACATAAAGGGCCCCAAAATATGGAATTCATTACCAGAAGATATTAAAGTAACCCAGTCTGAAAATCAATTTAGGACACTTCTCAAATGCCACTTAATCACCCTAGACTAGATGCTAAATACTCAGTACACACTTACTCACCTATGTACTCCCACGTCATAACTGAAACAATCACATTGAACCTTTTATCCATTGTTGACAGGAATATAATTGAATCATTGTTTTCACAAAAAGCATTTTCGAATACAAATATATCTTTGTATTATACAAATTTTGATTCATCTATAATTAATATTCTACTGTACAACTATGAAATAATTACTGTCCTACTGTACAACTATGATACACTCCTTAGTATTAAGTAGACTGTAAGCCAATAATGTTAAGTTGGCCCATAATGCCTAGGCATAATAGAGGCTCTCTTTACATTGCAACCCACTATTGTAAATACAAAATCTCAATGTACTGTTTGCAAAGACATAAAATAAATAAATAAATAAATATGAGAGAGGCAGGAGAGTTTGTTTGGAGGCAGGACAAGATAGTCCTTCAATATGACACTATCAACTCTACGGCTTATTTATCTAGCACAATTCATCTAATATGACATAATAAACAATATTAATAACATAGAAACATGATATATACTCTAGAATGAATAAAATATGTCATATGTCTCTCTCCCTAACCAACGAGTGTTGCTGTGTTGTTTGTTGTTGAGTGTATAAGGGCCACTGAAAGATAAGCCTTACACAGTGGTGGTGATGGCAGCAGCAGAGAAGGTGGTGTTGTCAGTCACCCTATATAACTCCAACAACATTGGAGGAGTTAGGTTCATGCTATCCTTTTTCTATGAATTAATCGCTTAACTTACTTGCAACACTGTTAATGCTACACTTTATCGCTGGCTGGAGCTATAGCCTTTATCGACTCGTACTGCTTTAGAATTGTACATATTGTAGAATCACTGAAGGTACATTCTCCCTTCTCTCTTCCTCTACTTTGGTGCTTTGCTACAATTTTCTTCTTAAATTCTATTGTGACTCTCACTTTCTTTACAAAAGGGCTGCCACTATGAAGTTTCTTTGGGCCCACGGTGGCTTATTTCAGTCACAATCAATAAATAAGCACAAAACACAATGAATTGTGAAATGTTTGGATGAGCACGCAGGGTAATGTTCACTCAAGGATAAACAAAGCTAGACTGGCTCACGACGCCTGCGCAGGCAGGCACACAGGTGCGGGCAGGTGGACAGGTCTGGTACGCCGGGTGAAACATGGGGCACAGGCCAAAACTCGAAACAAAATTTAGCCGAAAAAAGTGGTTGAAACTCGAAGCATCCGATACTCAGGGCAGCTGAAACTCGGAGTTCCACTGTACATTCTTGTTCTTATTACTTTTCCTTTCATATCCATGGAGAAGTGGAAGAAGAATCTTTTCTCTGTAAGTCACGGGTGTTGTAAAAGTCAACTAAAATGCCGGGAGCAATGGGCTAGTAACCCCTTTTTCCATATATCCTACTAAAGAGAAAAAGAAGAAAACCATCAAAGTGAAATGTTTGAATGTGCGTGGATGTAGTGCAAATGATAAGAAAGAGATGACTGTGGATGTTATGAATGAAAAGAAGCTGGAGAGAAATAAATGGGATTTGGTCAGGGGTTTCTAACAGCATTAGAACTAAGGATGGAGTAGCAATAATGTTGAAGGATAAGTTATGGCAGGAAAAGAAGGAATATAAATGTATAAATTCAAAGATTAAGTGGAGTAAAATAAGGGTTCGATGTGAAAAGTGGGATATAGTAAGTGTTTATGCAACTGGAGAAGAGAGAAGTGCAGAGGAGAGAGATTTTGGGAAATGTTGAGTGAGTGCATGGGGAGTTTTGAACCAAGTGGCTGGAGATCTCAATGCTAAAGTGGGTGTATATCAGATCATTATCTAGTTGTAGCTACAGTTAGAGTAAGAGATAGATGGGACAAAAGGAAAATGGCAACAGTAAGAGAGAGGTGAAAGTTTATAAACTAAGGGAGGAGGAAGTTAGGGTGAGATATAAGCAACTAATGGCAGAGAGGTGGGCTTCTGCATGTATGGGTAGTAGGGGGGGGGATGAAGAGGAATGGGATAGTTTAAAAAATACAGTATTAGAATGTGAGGCAGAAGTTTGTGGCTATAGGAGGGTGGGTGAAGGAGGAAAAAGGAGTGACTGGTGGAATGATGAGGTAAAGGCTTTGATAAAAGAGAAAAAGGTAGCTTATGAGAGGTTTTTACAAAGCAGAAGTGCTATAAAAAGGGCAGAGTATAGGGAGAGTAAAAGAAAGGTGAAAAGAGTGCAAAAGGAAAGCAAATGATAGAGTGGGAGAGGCACCACCATCAGCAAAATATTGATAACCACTGCTAGTACACTTTTCACCTGTCTAGACTTAAGTACTCTATTAGTATTAGGTTAAGTCTGCCTGAAATGCCTCAGCATGATAGACGCTTTCTTTGCTTCAATCATGTTATATGTAAACACACATAGTAACCTTTGCAAAGAAATAAATATTTTATTTATTTATTTAAGGAGCCTCCCTTGATGGGGAAGTTCGCGTCCTGAAATTTTGTTCATATCCAGAAGCAAAAAATCGACGGAACGACGGTTCGTATCCTGAAAAATTCGCATGATGGAGCGTTCGTAAGCCGAGGTTCGAATGTACAACTTTTCGTTAGATTCAGAATGAATTTTGCAAAATTACTGCATACACAAATTTTCGCTTGCCCTATTCGGCAAGAAGTGCATTGCTATTTAAGCCAAAATCTCAAGTTTTACTTATTCGGCATGACATTATATATACCTCCATGGGGAAGTGGAACAGAATTCTTCCTCCATAAGCCATGCATGTCGTAAGAGGCGACTAAAATGCCAGGAGCAAGGGGTTAGTAATCCCTTCTCCTGTATACATTATTAAAGTTAAAAAGAGAAACTTTTGTTTTTCTTTTTGGGCCACCCTGCTTCGGTGGGATACAGCCGGTTTGTTGAAAGAATATATATAAAGAGTAGGGCCTCGCTTAATGGCATTTTGCTTTACGGCGTTCCTCTAATATGGTCATTTCAAATTATGACCAAAACTCTATACAGCTCACCCCACCTGACTTTCTAATATGGCCACCATGTCCCACCCGGTTTGTTTACATTCTCCATGAGCTCTGTAACCATTACGTCTGGAAACTCCAAATTTTCAAATGTTTTTAAAAGTTATTTCATATTTTATATATACAGTAGACCCCCAGTTATCGGCCGTTTGGGACGAGTCCATCCGCCGGCTGGGGCCGCTTGAGTGTCAGTTTGGCTGTGTCACTGGGTGAGTGAGGAAACTTCTGCTCATTCATCCAAACATTTTGCTATAATCCATTGTTTTTTGTGGTTATTGATTGAGTGCAAGTGCAAAATAAGCAACCATGGGCCCAAGGAAACATGTTACATACTATATAAAAACATGCAATGTTTATATGCAATGTATATTAATAATAATCACTGGTACATTAAATGTCTTATTTTACGTTAATATAGATATTTTCATTAAACCATCTATTATATCTCTTCAAAATTATATAAGAAACACATTACATATCATATAAACATGCAACGTTTATTATATGTGATGTATAGATATTTAACCCTTTCAGGGTCCATCCTGTAGATCTACGGCTTTACGTTCAGGGTGCAAACCGTAGATCTACGCCAAAATTCTAGCGGCATCAAATTTAGCGGGAGAAGGCTGGTAGGCCTACATCTGAGAGAATGGGTCTGGGTGGTCAGTGTGCACACCATAGAAAAAATCTGGACGCCTGCATGGCATTGTGGGAACGCCGGCAAAGTAGCTTTGTTCATAGTGCCTGGCAGCAAAGAAGCTCTCACTCCCCACTCACTCTCCGGGTGAATTCTGACTCTCCTCTTCACAACTTACAGTTCTAAGACTGATGGAAGTGGAGCTGAAGACGAATTCTATGGTTTTGAACCATATGGTACCATTGTGCCATATGGTACAATGGTGCCATATGGTACAATGGTGCCATGTCATACAATGGTATATGGTACAATGGTATCATATGGTAGAGTGGTACCATATGGTACAGGGTACAGGGATCCTAATGGAAACAAGTCTGTCTGACTTTTTTGGGTTATCCTAGGTTCTCCAAACATATGCTGCCAAGTATGATATTCTATGTAACTTTATTTGTGTATAACTAAATAAACTTACTTATGATGCCACATGCACTTGAGTAAGTTTATTCAGGTGCACAGAAATACAATTACGTAGATTATCATACATAGCAGCATACGTATAAAATCCTAGGATAACCCAAAAAAGTCAGGGTGACTGATTTCCATAGTTATCCCTGTATCTGTACCATATGGTGTCCTGTACTGTATGGTACCCTGTACCATATGGTACCCTGTACCATATGGTACCCTGTGCCATATGGTACCCTTTTGCTTAAGTCCACGCTGGAAGGATCTGTCATCACTTGCCTCCACGCTGGATCTGCCATCGTCTGCCTTCACGCTGGAAAGATCTGCCATCGTCTGCCTTCACGCTGGAAAGATCTGCCATCGTCTGCCTTCACGCTGGAAAGATCTGCCATCGTCTGCCTTCACGCGGAAAGATCTGCCATCGTCTGCCTTCACCGCTGGAAAGATCTGCCATCGTCTGCCTTCACGCTGGAAAGATCTGCCATCGTCTGCCTTCACGCTGGAAAGATCTGCCATCGCTTGCCTTCACGTGGAAAGATCTGCCATCGTTTTGCCTTCACGCTGGAAAGATCTGCCATCGTCTGCCTTCACGCTGGAAAGATCTGCTATCGCCTGTCTCCACGCTGGAAGGATCTTTCATCACCATATGGTACCCTGCACCATATGTTATCCTGTACTGCATGGTACCCTATACCATAAAGTACAATGTACCATATGGTACCCTGTAACATATGATACCGTGTACCATATGGTCAATAGGTGTTGGTGGCATAAGACACCAGCCAAGACTGAGTGAGTGGCAACACAAGCTAGCTATTGACTCCTCAGTTTAGTAGACAAAGTGCTTTGTCATCCACCTCAAGGAACACGTCAAGATCCTGTACACTTGTAAATATACAGTGGACCCCCGGATAACGATCAGCTCCCAACTCGACCAATTATGTACGTTTATTTTTGTAAGTGCTTTTGTAGGTGTATTTTTAGGGGTCTGAAATGGACTAATCTAATTCACAATATTTCTTATGGGAATAAATTCGGTCTATAACGGCACCCAAATAGACTTCTGGATTGAAATAATATTGTTATACGGGGGTCCACTGTATAATAGAACATTACTAATATATAACATTTTTGCATATTTTTGTTGTAAACAACTATTGTAAACAAATAAAATGAAATATTAGTGTGTTTATTGTGAAAAAGGGGGGAAAAAATTTAAAAGGGCAAAAAAAAAATTTGAAACCGAAAAAAAGGGGGGAAAAAACTTTTTTTGGGAAAAATTTTTAAATTTTTTTTTTTAAATTTACCCGTTTATTTTTTTTTTTGGGGGGGCCAAATTTTTTTTTTGGGGTTTTTTTAAAAATTTTTTTAATTTTTTTTGGGGGATTTTTTTCCCCCCCCCTTTTTTTTTTTCCCCCCTTTTTTTAAACCCTTTTTTTTTTTCCCCCTTTTTTCCCCCCCTTTTTTTTTCCCCTTTTTTTGGGGGGCCCCCCTCTT